CCGGAGAATCTTCATAACCTTTTAAATAACTTCGGTATTGTGCCTTTCCGAAATTCGTCTTGTTCTTTTTCTTCGCATCCGGCTCAGTCTTATCTTCTTTAGCCGAGAAGTCGAAACTGGGAACCGACATCGACTCTTCGGCAATAATGAATTGTTGAGCACGCACTAAAAATTCTTGAAAGGTAGCCGCTTGTTTTGACACAGAGTCCAACGAAACATAAAATTGGGCCTTAACCCAGCAATCGCGGTTACCAACAAAGTCTCAGGATGACAAGGTTCCATATTTTGAATTTGATCGTTGAACCGAGATATATAATCTTTGACTGTTTCATTATCCTTCTGTACGATGTTAGTGATTGATTCTTTTGGGATAAGACAGACTTGAGCTCCAATAAAATGTGATCGAAAAGCTGCACGTAACTGTTGCCACTTCCATATTGAATGAGGTGGTAGAGTATAATACCATTTTTGCGCTCGTGGCCCCAGTGTGAGAGAAAACATCCGACATCTCAAAGCGTCTGAGGCGCCATGCAAATCCATCCAAGACGTATAATGACCCAAGTGTGCATCAGGATCCGACGTTCCATCATACATGCCAATTTGTGGAATTTTTATCTTGGCAGGGAGTGTCTCCGCAGTAAGTTCGGGAGCCAAGGGTGAATCAGCTTCCATGATGACATTACCCGACGTCGAGACATGTCGGGGGGAGTCTTGTTGTGATTTCTGTCGAGTTTCGATTTCAGCCAATCTTTTACGGAGAGCCTCTAATTCCTCCGCACTATGTCTTGACACACGATTTCGTTCAATTTGATGACGTAAATCTTCACGATCTCGAGGCATCGGTGAGGGGGGTCTAGGACGTGAAGGAATTCTATGATGGTGAGTGGAATGGCTTTCAGCAGTCATTTCTTGAACAAGAGGCTCATCCGCGGCTTGGTTATTTAATATTGGATTAACAGTTACACGAGTCATATCGTCTCCATGTTGAGAAATATGACGTGGTTGTGAGGTAGCATGTGATGTTGCCATATGTGTTTCTTGGTTATGATGAGTAAGATTTGGCTGTTCTGTTGGATTCGTGGGGAAAGGTGTAGATAATGGTATGGTGCCCGAATTTCTGGGCATAGCTCGAGCTACAAGAGAAGTTAAGCCTTGAATAAACTCCGGGTTTCGAAGAAAGTTCGTGATATTGGTTACCGGAGGTAGTGGTGTTGAACGCCTTGGGGAAAGATTCGTAGCATGGCTTTGGCCCGCATGGGAGGTGTGTTCCCGACCAGGTTTCGACATGGAAGATTCGAGCGAGCGATGGCTACAACAACGCAAGTTAACCTCAAAACCTTATGAGGCCCTCCTTCTAGCGCCAAACTGTTGTTATATAGGAATTAACAAGGGTTAATCAACGAAAGTTGCGTCGATTATTCAGAAAGATTCAACTTATGGAAAGATAATAAAAACACAGTTTATTGAATGTGATCGTTCATATTTTTTTGTCCTGCCTCCTGGGAAGCTTCTTCCTTTTCTTTTATATTCCCCTACAACATTATCACAATTACAATCATTAATCCGGAAAAGTCAATGGCAGCCAATCGCCATTCATTCTCGTAGCACGCCACTTGGCAAGGCATAATGATGATTTTGATGAGCTGGCACCGCCTTTATGATGTCGGCTTGACATGTCATAGATATCGATTTATTATGTTTAAACTGATATAGGATATCGGTTTACTTGATGAGGACGTCGGTTCTTGGCTCGTTCTTATCCGATGTGTTACTACTTGAGATTTGCAAGTATATCAATCCTATGAGATAACATAATCTTTGAATTGTCGAGCTTTGAACGTCAATGAGTATTAATAACTTGGTTTACCGAAAACCATATCAACACAGGTGCAGAAAGCCAGTGACAAAGTGTATAAAGTGATAGCTGACGATAAAGCCTTGATAGTGGACACAGAGTCAAAGTCCTACACATGCCACCGCTTTCAAGTTGATGAGCTGCCGTGCCCGCACGCTATACGTGTCATAAAGTTACTCCACGTGGATCCGGTTCCATTCTGTTCTTTGTATTACCTTAACTCTACATTGTTGGCAACTTATGAGGATGTTGTTATACCAATTGAAGGAAATATAGCATTCACGAGTGAAGGACAATCTGACCGTACATTGATAAGTCCCCCAAATACACGAGTCAGGCCAGGGCGACCACACAAACAACGGGTAAAATTGGGATGGGAGCATAGGTCAAAAAATAGGAGCAGCAAGTGTAATGAGAAAGGCTCCTTGAATATGTAGATAGTTTAGGCTCGTATCAAGGAGCATTTGAATATGTAGATAGTTTAAGCTCATATCAAGGAGCATTGTAGATGCAGATAGTTTAGGCTCATATCAAGGAGCATCAAATTTGTAGATAGTTTAGACTCGTATCAAGGAGTATTTGAATATGTAGATAGTTTAGGCTCATATCAAGGAGCATTGTAGATAGTTTAAGCTCATATCAAAGAGCATTTGAATGTGTAGATAGTTTATGCTCGTATCAAGGAGCCTTGAATATTTGATGGAGCTCTTCATAAGACTTGCCCTCATGCTTCATGGCTTGGGAAGAACAACAAATTTTATGAAAAACATAAAACTTTTGTACAACTTGAATATATTTCAATCAAATGATATTGCGGGTACAATCTCTATTTATCTCCTCTGATTCTTCTCTTCATGAATTTGGGATTGAGACCTTCAAAGATGGATTGACGAATGAATATCTTTCGGGCTTGGTCTTGAATTTATCTAACATTAATTTGGAGGGTCGAATGACTTATTCCCGTATTAAACGTTAGGCCTTGACTTGATTGAATATGACTTCTTGGAAGACTTGATTCTTTGATCTTCTTGAAAGAGGGACTCTGATTTGAATAACGTTGATTCGGGGGCTTGATAGCTTTTTCTCGGATCAAACGCTATGTTGGTTGAACTTCTCAACGAACGCGGCTTGAATGTCTCTTGAACGTCGTTGTTATTCTTGCATTGACTTGAGAAGCGTGAAAGTCGTCTCTTTACTTCTTGAAGAAGACCCGCTGTCTCTTTTTCTTCTTCTTGGCCTTCTTCTTCATTGAATGGACTTCGGGCGGTTCTTCAAGAACTTCTTCAAATCTTCAAGAGGGTTCTTGAGAGCTCTTGAATTTGAGACTTTAATATTTGAGATGTGTTTGATATTTTTGAGGTGTTTTAGGTGTGTTTTGTGGCATTGGGGAGAGCCCTATTTATAGGTTTAGGAGAGAGAGTCTTGGAAAAGAAGACATCAATTTGATTGGTCCTTCTTGATTTGATATAATATCTTTCCTTATCCTAAGATTTGATATAATCTCTTTCCTTATCTTAAGATTTGACTTGTTGGACAAGAAATAATAACTTTTATTAATTAAATATCTTATTTATCATGAATTTATGTCCCAAAATAAATAAAGACATTAATTAATAAATCATTAAAATTTTGATGTCTACATACTCCATATATCATCCCTATATATAATTCCCGAATGCGCTGAGCCTACGTGGCTGCTTCTGGTGCTTCGAAATCCTATTTGGCGAAGAATCATGCTTCGTAATTAGGTTTGGATGAATAATATTGATATATTAATAATTAATCATCTAGGTTCGGGTATTCCATAAATATTATTTAGCTAATTTAGGTATTTTAATATCACTTTTACTAATATAACCCTTTAATTTTTTGTAATTTTACATATTGAGGCACTAAGTGACTAATATATCCCTGAATTTTGATTTGTTTCCTTCAATAAGCTATTGAATTATAAATGTATTTTAAAAATTGATAACTTTTGTATTTCTTATCGGTTTTATATATATAATATATCAAATTAATCATCTTTTGATGATCTTCAATTTGATATCCATATTGTATATATAAAATAAATAAATTATACTTATCTTTATAATAATAAAAAATAATAATATTTATTAAAATTTATTAGAAAAATAAAATTATTTCTCAATTGATATATTTGTATGTAATGTAGTTATATATTGTAAGTTAAAAAATTAGCATAATATAACACAGGTAAGTCGCACAAATAAGAAGTGTCATAAATATATAATAATATATATATTCTTATAAAAGGTATTTAAATTTTCAAACTACATTTTTCTTATTAATTTTAGATTTTAAGAAAAAAAATTAGCAAGCACCCGTGTAATACACGGGTGTTGTGCTAGTAATCAGAATAAAACATTACAAAATTGTAAGTTAAAATGGAACATAACATTGCATATACTCCACACATAATCCAACATATTACAGAAAGATAATTCCCACCAACAATATATATAATTACATTAAATATAATATTAGATATACCAAACATATAACAATATATACCAAACATATAACTAGAAATAAAACCAAACATCACAAGTTGACATCCACAATAGTCATATTAATACATAACTCAATCATAACCACTTACCTCATTGTTCGATACAAAATAATATAACATCCAAATTATTCTGGAATTTATTTTTGGGTTTGTATTAATATGCGTATTTTTTGACGTATCATAATGGTATATGTCTGTTCTTTTGTGTGTGAGTAGAAAGCAGAAAATGTATTAAGTTATTTTATGTATATATTTTTGTTATAATATGAGTACTTTTCTGTTATATTTTTTGACTTCATATAGGATAAAATGTAGCATAACATTGCATATACTCCACATATAATCAGAATAAAATATTAAAAGAGTGTAAGTTAAACTGGAACATAAATTGCATATACTCCACACATATAACTGGATATACCAACCATATAACTAGAAATAGCAAACATATAACTAGAAATAAAACCAAACGTCACAAGTTCACCTCCACAATTGTCATATTACAATCATAACCACTTGTCCTATTGTTCAACACAAAATAAGTTCATATCCAAATTGTCAAAATACACCACACCAAATGAAAAATAAAATACAAAGGTGTCAATGGTTTCCCTATGCCAAAAATCCGAACCGAACTTCATCGGGGACACTGCCCTGGGAATCATCGTCACTATCGCACTCGTTAACCTGTTTCATTCGGCCATGTTTGTAGAACAAATATCCATACCTTTCCCTTTGAGAGTTGATATCAAACTTCTCCTTGGGAATCTCGTGATCCGAAATGAAATGTTCGGCAAACGATGCAACAAACCCCCCGCAATCGCTGCCCACACCAGAACAATTTAAGAATTGTAAATTAATGATGATAATAATAATAATATAATATAATATAATATAATAGTAATAATAATACTAATAATAATAGTAATAATAAAAATAATAGCAATAAATACATACGTGAAAGCAATTAGGAGAACAGAAATGGGAACCTGTTGAGTTGTTGTGGTAAATTATCAACCATTACAACCTCGAGATTGCCGTTACAGGCCAATCCTTTCTTCGAAAACTTCACCAGTCGAAGATAAATGGGAATAATCTCAACATACGCCTGCACTGTCTCCATAACAATTTTATCGCAATCTTCTGTGCGAATTGAATTGTATATATAAAGTTTCTGATCATCCAGAGAAAGGCGTCCCAATATCCAATGACCGACTCCATTTATGTCTAAATGAATTGGGAACAGAACGTGGTCAACATTCACCCAAGAGACCCCACATATAAGCTTATAGCCTAGTATGTAGTCAAATATCATATCATGAACATTACACAAGATTGATCACGAGACCTGGACAAATACAAGGTGTACAACGACTTGATGTGTTGGTCGAACAACACATCAGTCGTTGTGAACCTGACGGGGGCACTTTTGGCATAGAGTCCAAACTTCTTCAAGTAATAAAAGATGACATCCAAGTGCTGCAAAATGAGAATAAAAAAATGTCAAGGAGTTTTTAGAATTACGTAAAAAATATTCAACATATAATAACATATCGAACATATACTTGAATTATACTAACTATATACTGAAAATTGAACAACCACAAAACACAATTTTAGACACACTCTACTTAACTGGAAGAACCGTTATATGTACCAGTAATCTTAAATTAATAAAACAACTGTAGAACAAAATCTACAAAAATGCTACTTACGCTGCTGTCGAGGAAGCAGTTTATCTCTTGGATGTTGTAAAACCAGTTCTTGTCCGTTACCACAGCAACATTGAAGTCAAACGGTATGGGCAATGTCTTGCTAAGTTTCCTGTAGTAGTTCAACATGACAATGAAGTGAGTATATATTAGTATATGTATGGTATATTTAAATATTATTTTTTGTGTATATAAAGTATATGTAGATTATATTTATGAGAACTTAACGGCCGCTGTTTCACGTACCCGTTGTCCAATTTACGAGGAGCAGTACGGAGAAATCCTTCGGCAATCCAATCCTTGTAGTTCTTCATGTCCACTTTTCCAGACACAACTATGTCAAAAGTGACATCAAATGGGCATGATCTAAAAAGTCGTACTTTCTTCTTCAGACAAGTTTCCTTCTTCGATTTTTCCTTAGGATTCGATGTTGGTTTCACGGCTTCTATCTTTGACACATGCACAACCACAACATCGCAATGTTTCTCCTTTGCTACATTCTCCTCAACCAGAGCAGGCTGATGATAGTGACATATAAAGACATTAAATTATTATTACACTACATGTGGAATTGAGGATGTTAAAAAATAATAACGATTGAAGTAATTAGAATTACATTATTGTGCGTCGATTGAATAGCTTTCTTGGATGGTGGTGTCGGTGGTAGAGCGGCCATTACAGCATCAAATGACGGCTGCGATCCATCCAGTGTGTAACCATAGATAGGGTGTGGCTCATAGTCGAAACCTCTCTACATACCAGGACAAAAAAAAAAAATAATAATAAGATTTTATATAAATGCCATATGTTTAATAATATGTGTTTATCTAAATCTCATATTTTTACCGGTTCTTTCCCCTCGGATGATTCATTCAACTTTTTTTGCAAAGTCCGGTCAATTTCCTCTAAGAATTGGGTGTTAATCATGGAAAATGTATCATCATCGTCATCACCACTTGCTACATGTAAATCAGGCTGAGGTAAATTTTGAACTGGTACATGGCTACCGGGCTCTGGCAAAAGTTTTACTGGAACAAACTAACCAAAAGAAAAAAAAAAGTAAAAATGACATATGAAGCAGTCTGTTATGACATGAAAATGACATGTAATAATAAAAATTAAATGTGGGACATTTAATGACATATGAATAAACAAATGGGTATATTTTGTAACATGATTGTGTAAATGACATATGAGAGAAAGTAACTTTCTTCTCTATCAGATTAACTTACACTCTTTTTTATGTTTTATTCTGATTATATGTAGAGTATATGCAATGTTATGTTACACTTTAACTTACCTTATCTGCTGCGCTTTTCATAAGTGCTTCAGCTTTGGTTCTGCAGGCTCTTAATGGAGACTTCACAATTGTATTCTCGACATTAACATCAGAAGCGTTCTGAAGAGGCTACAGGCAAAAAAATAAATAAATAAATAAATAAATAAATAAGGAAAACATGAACACAATGGCATATTCCCTAATTGATAGAGTTGTTTACCTTGTCTGCTGCTCGCTTCATAAGTGCTTTGGATTTTGTTCTGAACGCTCTTATTGGAGACTTCACACTCGTATTCTTATCATTAACATCAGAAGCCTTCTGAAGAGGATACAGACATAACAAAAAAAAAACACAAAGGCATAATACCTAATTTGATAGAGTTGTTTAATAAGATATGATGTGGACACTAAATATTAGTATCGACCAAACAAACTGTCTCTTTTTCAGCTGAACTGTGACCGCGCAATTCATTCCGCACTTCATTCCCATCACGAACATCGCTCGTGTTTCCTCTGTCTGTGTTGTGGTTTTTACTTGAACCACCCTATTGTATAATGATAACGTGATAAGATGCAGATTGATTACGTAAAATGAACAAACAGTACACAAATTGCGCATGAAATTGCACATGCAGTACAAAAAAAAACAGAAATTTAAGACAAGAAAATATCTTTGATATGTACTTGACTGCTGCATATAATGTGGTTTGTCTGTTGCATGCTTGAATTTAACTCTGCATATAACAGACTGCTACATATGTTTTAACTTCAAAAATGATAAAATGTAACATAACATTGTCATATGTAACATATCCTTGCATATGTAATGTATATGGAACATAACATTACATATAACAGACTGCTACATATTCTGATTATATGTTTTATTCTGGTATATTTAATAATATGGAACATAACATTACCTATAACAGACTGGTGCATACTTGAATTTAACACATAATATTTTAAAAACAGATTTGAGACAAGAAATGTACTTGATTGCTGCATATACCGAAAAAATATAATAAAATTATACCGAAGAATATAGTATATATGCCGCAGAAATATACTACACATATAATGTGGTTTGTTTGTTGAATAAATGTTTAGTAAATAAAACAAACATATACTAAACATATAATGTGGTTTTGTCTGCTGCATAAATGTTTAGAAAAAAAAAAACAACAAACATATAAAAAGTATATATGGATCAGACATTTAATAATCATACACTATGGCTAATCTGAGCAGATATACAAAACTATACTAAACATTAAATCAATAAACATGACCAAATACTTACAAGTAATTTCTCCTTGAAAAATTCAAACTCAGCAAAAGCACGTCTCGAGAATTCGAGGAAGGATTGCTTCAAACTCTCAAGTTCAGCAGTAATTGTGTCTAGCCGGGTTATAACATCAACACCATTGGTGTGTCGTGGAGTGTCAGTTGATGGAATCTCGTTTTGAGTGAACTTATTTTTGTTTTTGAAGAATGAGTTCAACAAAAGAATCTGTCTCTCGGCCTCGGTGGGGATTATGTTCTTGAACTATGCAAACAAATAAAAAAAATAAAAATTTATGAAGACACAAATAAATATATAATAGAGGTGGGTGCTATGTTGTTCAACTGTGAAAACAATTAACAAAAAAAGTTATGAAGACAGAGATATGAATATATAAAGAAAACATAAATATATACCTTAGAGTAATGAAGGTCGGAAAAGGTCCTCTCCATGAAAATACGAGTATAGATATCTTGAACTTCCCATTTAAGTATCCTGGGGATATCGTGTACACCAACATTTGTGGAGAGTACACCCTGGGCAGGTTCGCAAACCTCATAGAACCAGGTCTGAAGTGCCAGAATAAGACCATAGCAACGATAGAGGTAGCCAGCCCCCTCAGCCTTCTCAAAGATATGCATCTGCTCTCTCGTGTGAATCGACTTCTTTAGGTAATGAAAGGTAAACTCAAATAGATCGGTACCCCAGGAATAATCATCGCATTCCGCGCTATCGATCATGTCAACATAACAGCGTTCGATGCGAAGGGCGTCTTGAGATCCCATGAGGAAATTTTCTAACAAGTGTAACTTAGCTAATTTGACGGCGTCTTCATCACTCGCCCATGACTTTTTTTGAAACTGCCATCTGATATGGTTTCGGGTTAAGTCAACCCCCTTGAAATACTTGTCGTGGAGTCCATTAGAAATCTTGGGAATGTTCAGCTTCTTGCTTTGTCTAGTGCATTTCAAACCAGTGACAACATAAAACTCCTCGATGCCAAAACGGAGAAAGTTCCCTCCGAAATTGAACCAAAGCTCATCTGTCCTGCTTTGATGAACCTCGCGCTCAACAGTATATAGTTTATTAGATGGTTTTGTATAATGCATTAAGGGAGGTCCAAGAACTTCCCAAACGCTGACCTCCTAAAAATCTCCAAGTGCTCCTTGGTTAGCGTTTTCTTGATTTCATTTAATGTTGAACGATCCTTGCTATTGTCATTACTGTTTTGGACTTTCACGTTTATATCCCTTGGGTGCGGGATTAGCAATTCCCATTCCTGAAAAGCATTAACAAAAAAAAATATATATTAATATACAGTAGGTACATTTTTACCTGAACGTTGATAAAACACGGGACAAATTGTTTACATATTCATATTGGTGCATATACTAGAAACTCATATAGTTAACATATACTTACTGAATAAAATTAATCACTTATATACTTCACATACACTTCACATATACTTCCTGATGTATACTTCACATACACTTCCCATATATAGTTAACATATACTTCACATACTTCACATACACTTCACATATAGTTAACATATACTTCACATACACTTCACATATAGTTAACATATACTTTACATACACTTCACAAACTAATCACCTATATACTTCACATACACTTCACATATATTTAACATATACTTCACATACTTCACATATACTTCCTGATGTATATACTTCACATACTTCACATATAGTTAACATATACTTCACATACTTCACATATACTTCTCTGATTGACTGCAAACACAAATTGCAATATAATATATACCAATGTATAAAAATTTATACTGTTAAAATGATAACTATATCCCACATATACCTGCATTATACTAAGTATATAGTAAATGATATTGAATCAATGACAATATGTTTATACTGTTAAAATAAAATGACAAATCAGAATTCAATAAAAAAAACCACGTCAGATAACAAAACAACTAATGCCAAAAAATCGAAAAAAAGTTGAATGGATCATTAACAGTTGATCATAGACATATGAAACAAGCTTTAAAATATCAAACATCTAGTAAGGCATGTACACAGACAATCAAAAGTTACATCATTTGCGTGTGGACCACTGAGACTACAAAAAATCTTATAACAAGTTGAACACAGTAAACAAAAAATACTTCAATTAGTCATATAAATTACCTTATATGTTATTCTGTACTGCAAATCTCGAGGGGGCTTGGTGACATCATTGTTGTCCCTTCTTCTCTTCTTCAGTCTGTCGGCTTCGTCCCTTTTCTTTTCTGGTCATTTTCTTTCTATTTTTCGCTCGCATTTCAACCGGAGAGTCTTCATCTTCCAAATCTTCTTCGCTGCCGAAATCTTCGGGTTGGCTTTCATACTCGAACTCATATTCTTCTTCGCTCAGAACTCGGGTTTTCTTCTCCAGTTTACGAGTTCGCCTAGGCTTTTCCGGTTTCTTTGTGTCTGACTGGAAGTCGTCTGAACTGGGAGACGAAATAGGTTTCTTCATTCTCGCCTTGCCGGAAAACTTGCGACTAGGATTAGGATTCGAATTTTTCTCAAAAAATAATTTTTTTTGCACGAGTTTTGGTTGATTTTATGGATGAATTTTATGGAGACGGGCACTTGATCTTAAAACTGGTGAATCGTCGCCACCATCTGCCGGATGTTTTCGACGAGGATGAGTGATTTTTGTTTTCGCCATTGAGAACTGAAATCGCCTAAAATTGGGGAACGGTTTTGCAGAATGAAGGGGTAAGTGGGGCGGTGGGGTGTTTTAGAGAAGTGGATATTTAATTTGACATAATTATCTCAATAATATTAAAAAAATGTTAATAACTGTTATTAGGTATAATTGAAAATATTTTAGGTTGTTTAGGTGATTTTAAAAAAATATATATATTTAATGGAACAAAAGTGTTATATATTTTAAGTTTTTAATTATGGCATGCAATTTCCTCTTTAATTAACCTTGTTCAAAACAATTACAAATTTCATTTGTGTCATTGAGTTGTGCCCATTGTAGCCACTTAATTAATCTTGTCCAAGAAAATTACAAGTTGCATTTGTGGGCCTAGGAAAAGTAATTTTTTATATTAAATATATCTATATAGTAATTTGTTTATACCACACAAATGAGGGCCCATTTTATAAATGGGCCCTGGGCCATCGCCCAGCTTGCCCTGGCCCACGGTCGGGCCGGATTACAACTATCTAGACTCGAAACCTGCAAACCCGACCCCTCTCCCAGGAAAACTAAAGTACAAGGTCAGAACTTCTACTACAAACTATATACTGAAAAGTACAAAATAAAGTACAACTGTACAACTCAAAACTCGAAATCTGGATATCGAGCTCGAAACTCGACCTCTCTCTCCCAAGTGGCTTCCGACTCGTCGTGGCGACTCCAGCAAACTTTGACGAGCTCTATATCTCGGTTTCTCCGACGTCTAACCTTTCGGTCCAGCACTGCTAACGGCCGCTCATCATACGTCAGGTTCTGCCCGACCTCTAACTCGCCAAAGTTCACCACGTGGCTCGGATCGTACACATACTTTCTCAACATCGACACATGGAAGACATATGTATACCCGAGAGGTCTGGGGGCAATGCCAGACGATATGTTGTTACGCCAACTCGTTCGAGAATATCAAACCCCGGACCAGAAACTATAATCCAGCCCCAAACTTCAACCCCCACACAACCGACAGCCAAGGGCCGACCATCCACCGGAGCTAAAACCCACACCCACAGGCCAAACCCACCACTTAGGGTTTAAATGGATCGAATCAAAGCGAATATTAAGATATTCGATTCAGATTAGTTAAAATATTCGAAAATTCGGATTCGCATTATATTCGTAGACGAACTCAAATTTTTATTCGTATTCGATTCGTTTACAATATTCGCACATATTGATTCGATTTGAAATTCGTTTCAGAAAATATTAAAATAAATTATAATTACAAAAATATTGTTTATGTTATTTTTTAAGACAAGTTATTAATTTGGGATGTTTTTACCTTTTATTTCATAAAAATATTAAGAATAATATATATAAATATATATATATATTATAAACAAAAATTTATAGTATATATAATTTATATAATTATCCTTAATGAATCGAATAACTACAAATTAGAATTTGAATTTGTTTAACTTTCGGATATAAAATATTACTTGTAATCGAATTCGAATTCGCATCACGAATATTGAATTGAATTAAAAAAAATATATATTATTTGTTTACAAGCCTATCCACCACCCAGCACAAGGGGGATGGGAAATTAATCATCGGGAAGAAAAAACTGATATCGGTTCCGACCACCGCAAGGCAGTTATGGGAGCAACCGCCCAGCCTTACCATCAACACGCCACCCAGCACAAGGGGGATGGGAAATCAATCATGGGGTAGAAAAAACTAACATCGGTTCCGACCACCGCAAGGCAGTTATGGGAGCAACTGCCCAGCCTTGCCATCAATAACGCTGCAAGTGCTCTTGAGCACATGAAGTGATGGAGACGAGGCCGCGTTGGCGTTCATGCAGAAATATGACCGTCTCCGAGTCTAGTTTATTTATTTTCCCGGTCTTTATTAGTTGTCGGTTTATTAAGTTATTATAGTTTTCATTTATGTTATTTTTATTTAGTGGAGTATTTATTTAAATAAATAGGAGTTTGTGGAGTAGTGGGGTCTTCATATATGTAACCACACTCCTGAACAGTTAATTTCCATCATCGTATTATTATTCTGAGAAAGAAATCTGCTCTTGTGTTCGTAATTTCCCTTTCGATTACATCCTCTACATCATGAAGTCAACTGGTTACATGGCAAACCGCTACCCATCTGAGAAGACCGCGAAGCGGCAGTGGCCAAGAGCATGGCCCGGTGGCTGGCGGCACCCATCAGTGCGTAGCGCCCCATTGAGAGGAGGCTGCCGGCGCTACTGAGAGGAGGCTGATGGAATTACGAAACCTAGGCTTTACTGTTCACAAATTGGGGGGAGGAGAATTTAGTGAAGACAATTGCTTTTTCTCCTGAGAGACTAAAATTTGTAATTGAAAATAGGAATTGATGAAAATTTATTTTAATAGCTATCAGTCCACAGTATATGTTTAAGAGAAAAATAGAAAATCCATTTTAAATCCAGCTGAGACCTACACCAATTCCAAGATTTCTTCAGCCAATATCAAGGTTCTAAATCTCTAAATTATTCAAGTACAGACAATCGTGCCTTAAAGGAACAATAAATATAGCATAAACATGACTGATTTAGGCTAAGCCACAAAAACTTGGGAAAAAAAGAAGAAAGAAAAGGAAAAACACAAAACCATTCTTCATCTATCTTCCAGCTCCAGGCCCAACTTTGAGTCTAAGATTGTTCAGAGTTGAGGAAACCAACTGCAGCCGAGGATCATCCTCAGGCACCTCTCTTCCCTGAGACGCAAATAAAATTGAAATTTGATACAAGCCCAAATAAGAGGAAAGTAGCCTTCTAAGTTCTGAATACGAAAGGGTTTTCAAAGAACGAAATACATCGCATGCCTACAAATAAATTACACTTGAAGCCATATCAGTAATCATAAAAAAAAAA